GAATAAACCAATATATATAATAAATTAGTAGCAATAACAATAACTGCTCAATAAACCTTTTTTAAATTGTAATTATAGATTTTCTCTAAGAACAATAAACATTGATGCAGAACATACTGTATGCTGTAAGCATTTCGTATTTTTATAAGTTGTCAAAATATACTTTAAAACAATATAAATGTGTTGATTGAGCAACATAATTTGTCAAAGAGCTCCAGTTTTTAACATTTTGTTGTTGGGTAAGTTATTCATTGATAAACACTTAAATTTCCATATTTATTTAATGACAGGGCGTTGCTACTTAGGGAGGAAACAATTGTGGGCTGCTTCATACCTTAACGATTTCTAAGGAATTTGATGTTATATAGTGTTATTTACCTTAATTTGGTTTTCTAAAGTTGTTAAATTTAATTTCCAAAAGCTTAGTTTTTTTTTAATTTTCTCAAAAGTATGTCAACAAAAGAAATGTATTTAGACCTCAGAACCAAAGGGTATCAGGTCCACCATTTTTGTGAGATTTTGATCTTTTTAAATATGTTTTGCATACATCTTAAGCGTAAAAATATTTTTTGGAAATTGGTTATCCAGGCTTTTCAACAGCTTTCCTGAATAATAATAAAGATAAGATTTTTATTTCCTTTTTATCTCCAAAATCCAGATAATAAATTTCAACAAATTTTATAAGGATTATTTTAGAATTACTATTTCTTCCAAAGGATGACTGAAATTACAAAAAAAAACCATACTGTATGAAAAAAAAAATTTTACAGTACAGAACTACCGATATTTATAAAAGACAGCTTGAGTAAGACATCAGCAATTTTTAAGTTACACAACTGAAAGAAGGTTTAAACTTATTTTTAGGTATCTCCAAAAAGAAATAAGTATAGAAAAGGTAAAACTTTTAAAATCCTGTTATTTAATGATATATATATATATATATATATATATATATATATATATATATATATATATATATATATATATATATATATATATATATATATATATATATATATATATATATATAATTGTTATATTGTTTATAGCAAAATGTAGATTCAAAAAATATGAAGATATGTATATGTATATATATATATATATATATATATATATATATATATATATATATATATATATATATATATATATATATATATTAAGGTGTCCTAAAAAACAACATTTTTGAAAATAATCTGCTCCCACCTATCTAAATGTGTTTTATCTAATACAAAAACACTAGGTTTAAATTTTTTTTCTAATATTTCCCTAATATTTTCAAAAAAAAAAAAAATTTTTATATGTCAACCTGGTACTCAAATGAATTTTTATGATAATGTTGATAAATTAAAATTTCTTCGAAATGAATAATATTTATTTAACAATATTCATTTAGTAGTCGAAAGAGACTTTTAATGTAAAAAAAAGTCTCTTTCGACTATAATTTAGCTACCTTCAGAATTAAGTTACATTTTAGTGTCGTGGAAATGTCAAAGCAATTAAATTAATGCGGAAATACATTGAATTTTATCATTTTTTTTAAAAACCACAATAATAATGACCAGAAAATTTTTTTTATTAATGATGTTTTTGTTGTTGTTTTATTAAAATATATTTTTTTAAAGCATGCGCAGAGTGTTGCTACATCAACAATCTTATAGCCTGCTGCTACAAGGGAGTGTTGCTACATCAACTATCTTATAGCCTGACTCACAATGGAGTGTTGCTACATCGACTATCTTATAACCTGACTCGCAACGAAGTGCTGCTACATCGACTGACAAATAGCCTGATTCATAACGGAATGCTGCTACGTCGACTAAGGGTTTGGTTATGGCAGACAGTCTATCATTTAATAAATAAAAAATTTTCAAGTTTTTCAACTATTTCTAGTCTGGTTTATTAGCAATCTTATTAAAACTACATTCTATGAGAAAAACATTTCGACTATCATGCAAGATTGTTTATATATATATATATATATATATATATATATATATATATATATATATATATATATATATATATATATATATATATATATATATATATATATATATATATATATATTAGGGGGTCCCAAAAAACAATATTTTCGAAAATAATTTGCTCTCACCCCGTAAATGTGTTCTATCTAATGCAAAAACATTAGGTTTAAATTTTTTTTTAATAAAAAATATTTTAAGAGGTCCCTCAAGACCCTTGAATATTTAATGGGTCCCTAATATTTTCGAAAAAAAAGTTTTTCAAAAATATGTCAACCTGGTACTCAAATTAAGCGAAATTATATAAAAATTTTAAAAATAATATTAATTAAAACAAAATTGTTATTTTTGGTTTTATTACATAAAAAATTGCGTTTTTTAAGAAAAAATAAAAAAAATGCATTTCTAATGTTTTTTTATGATAATTTTGATAAATAAGTTAAAAATATATTTCGAAATGAATATTATTTTTGAAATATTTATATAATTTTGCTTCATTTGAGTACCAGGTTGACATATTTTTGAAAAACTTTTTTTTCAAAAATATTAGGGACCCATTAAATATTCGAGGGTCTTGAGGGACCCCTTAAAATATTTTTTTTCAAAAAAAATTTAAATCTAGTGTTTTTGTATTAGATAGAACACATTTGGGTGAGAGCAGATTATTTTCAAAAATGTTTTCTTTTTGGGACACCCTAATATACATCTTGATACTAAAAATATTTTAACCAATAAAAGTTTAAAAAGTTTAAACTTTCAGACCAAAACCAAACCAAGATCTCAAAAATAATAATAATTAGGTTTATATATTTGTAGGATTAATAGAAAATGTTTTATAATTGACTATCATCAATATATTTAATCAGATTACAAAAAAAAGTTATAAATTTTTTTTCTAGCACACACCCACTCCACCCTTATGGGGTCTGGGTGCACATAAAAAGCAATTTTTCAGACACCCCCTGATAGATGTGAATTTAGAATTATTTTTTTTGCAAATATTTGGTAGGTATCTTCATAGGGAATAAAAAAAATTCAGAGTGAGCGGACTCTGAATTTTTTTTAATGGGCGGAATCATTAAAAAAAAATTTTTAATGATTCCGCCCATTGAAATTTTGCTTATCTTTATAGCATTTTTGTGGGTGGAATCATAGCATGTATAGATCTGTAATTGATTACTAGTCTTGCTTATCTTTATAGCATACAGCTTTTTTTAGAAAAATAAGAAAAAAAAAAAAAAAGAAAAAATTGCTGCACCAGCCCAAACTTTCAGTTGATTTAGTGGCACCCCTTTGCAGCAGCAGGCTATAAGTAGTCAATGTATGTAATAAACCCCTAAGCAGCAGACTTTTTCTGTGTGTCATCTCAGTGTTTCTGTAAACATACATAGTTCACAGTGCTTACCTAAACACAATTATGATTTTATACTGAAACCTGACTATCTAGTTGGACTGATAGATTGGGTTGGGGCAGCAATGAGGGATTTGGTTGGGGCAGCAATAAAATTATAATATGTAATAAAATATTCTATATTATATCAAATATATTAGTATATAATAAAAAATATTTTAGGAAATTGTGTTTATCGAAACATAATTAATTTTTCTGTTCAAGCCTAATTTCAGTTTTTCAATTTTAACTTTAATTTTTAGTTGAAATTGGTCTCTCATCGCTTGTAACTCATGCAAATGGTATGTCTCGCCCAGATACGCCATGCTCCACACTTAGTGGAGAACTTATTGGTGGTATAAAGGTAGATTTAATATACTTAGTTTTTTAACCTTTAGTTGCTTTGATATCTTTTGATAATGTCATATATATTAATAATATCATTTATTTAAATTTTTGTTAACTAAATCTTAAAGGTTTATGTTAATAATATCATTTATTTATATTTGCAAATAAAAACAAAAGGTTTATTCAAAAGACATTTACATTTCTAACTTGAGTGTAAAGATTTTTATTTAGTATAAATTCAAATATTTTTAACGTAAATTTTAACACACTTAACATTAAACACATTTCAAGGAAATTGCTCTAAAATATTCCAATATATATTAAATGAAGTTTTATTAAATGTTTTATTAAAAGTTTTATATAATTCTATTAAATGAAGTTAAATGGTGCTTAAGTTTATTCTGATGCATATTCAATAAGGTTCGCACTCTTATATTTATTTTCTTTAGTTTACACACTATAACAGATGTTTTAACTTAATTAATTATATAAAAACTTATCTAAAATGTTAATTTTTAAAAATTATATTGTCGCCAATTATAGTATTGGATTATATCATAACATCAACGCATTAAAAAACGCCAAGAAAAACGCAGCAAAATCAAAAAATCAATGGGTATTTCTTCAAAGATGTGTTAAACACTGCATCATCCTAAGATTTCTTTGTATAAAAAATCCTCTGAACAGTAAGTTTAGTAATTGCTTAATGATGAAAGTTAAAAAAAATCTACTTCTACATACTCAAAAATTAGCAAAAAAAAGATACTTCAACAACATAATTTTAATCAAAAATTTTGATGAACTCATAAAATCATGTGTAAATAATGAAGATTTTCAAAAAATTACAAACATTACAGATAAATCCTACGAGTATATGTTTATGTGATCGAGAAGTAAACTAAAAAACAAATTTGATTTATTAATAAAGGAAAGTCAGTATAAAAATAAAAATAACCAAAAAAAGTACAAGTTTATGAAAGAGGTAACACTTAATTTATATACTGATAATATCCCAACACATCACAAAAAATTACTTGATTTAGGACCTAATTTTGTTCCTATTCCAAATAAAGTTCCATATATGGATATAATAAGTATAACTGAAATGGCAGCTTTAAAGTTAAAGTATTCAAATAAAAACACTGATGCAAATAAACATAGACAAGATGTGCTTCGAGTTTTCAAAATGCATAAACCGGTTTCGTCAAATTTAGATAAAGATCAGTCTAAAGCTCTCAAAGAACTTAAGTCTAGCAACACAATTAGTATTTATCCGTTTGATAAAGAATCAGGCTTTGTTCGAATTAATAAAATTGATGCTCTTAAAAAAATTGAAGAACAACTCGGAAAATCTACAAAAAATGAATATAGATTAATTTATCCAAGTGATGCCACTCCTCCACGATTATATGGTGTCATCAAGGCACACAAACCGACTAATAACTACCCAATGCGAATTATAGTAAGCACAATAGGGTCACCTACATATAAATTATCCAATTATTTAGTTAATCTCATTCAACCTACCTCCAATCTAAACAAAACAAAACTTCGAAATTCAAAATAATTTGTTGAATGTGCTCAAACATGGTGTATCGATCCTGGTGATTTTCAAGTTTCCTTTGATATTATTAATCTTTACCCTTTAATACCAGTTAAAGAATCAATCGGTATTCTATTAGAACAACTCCGTAATAGTCCTGTCTTTAATTCAAAATTATCGTTTTTAGAAATAAAAATACTTTTAGATTTGTGTTTATTAAACTGTTATTTTTTACATGAAAACAATATACATACATTAGAAGATGTCGGTCCTATAGGTTTATCATTAGTGGTAGTAATGGCAGAGAGTTTTCTGCAACATTATGAAGAAAAAGCTTTAATACAGGCACAATATCTTACACCACCAATATGTATAAAGTCATTCAAAAGGTATGTTGATATCCATTCCCGTTTTAATAATGAAGCAGAATCAAAACGTTTTCTTGACTGGTTAAACAACCAACACACAAGTATCAAATATACAATTGAAAAAGAAAGTGACTCACACACAATAAATTTTCTTGATCTCTCAATAACAAATAACAAATCTGGAACATATCTTTTTAATATCTATCGCAAAGGTGCTATAACAAATGTGCAAATAAAGCCGCATTCTTGTCACGATCCAAAAATAATTTATGGTGTATTTGAAGGTTTTATCCAAAGAGCTTTTGCATTATGCAGTAAAGAAAACATAAATCATGAATTAAAGTTTCTTACAGAAATGTTTATAGAAAATGGTTATAAAAAAAAATACTTCAAACATTGTTGAAAAAATTAAAAACAATAAGCAAAATAATCAACAAAACAACAACAATAACATCAAAAAACTACAACTTAACTATATTTCTCTACCATGGGTGCCGAAGTTAAGTAATCAATTAAAAAAGATATTTAAAAATGCTGGCTATACTCCAGTTTTTAAATCACCAAAAAACCTTCAACAATTAATAACTCAAAAAAACAAGCCTCAACTTCCCAACAATTCTTATCCAGGATTCTACAAACTGGAGGGTTCGTGTGGAAAACTTTATGTAGGTGAAACAAAACTCAAGGTTTCAAATCGCATTTACCAACATCAAAAACATACTTTTGAGGGAAAATGGAAAAATTCAGCTGTAGGGGGGCATTCCAGAAATTCCCATGGTGCCTTTAGCTGGAATAAAAACAATACTGTTAAAGTAGAGGAAGGCTATTTTAAGAGAAAAGTGAGAGAGTCTTTGGAAATTCAGTATCACCAGTGCTCTCCAAATGAAGGTGGTTTGAATGAAGACGACGGCGATTACGTCACGTCGTTGTTTTGAAAACCTTATTTTTCTTATTTAAGACGCAAGAACACATTACATTGAAGTTTTATTATTTGTTTATTTGTTTTTTTAACGGTTTTTTTATATTACTTGAATAACGAGGGTATATATAACCCCTATAAATATTGTATTTTATTATAAAGAAATATATAGGATAAGTTTACACACTATAACAGATATTTTAACCTAATTTCTTTACTTTAGTTTATTACTAATTCTTTATAAATTTCTTCTTTCAGTTGATGTGCATAAGTTTATTGTTGCTTAAATTGAATTCTTAATCTCTGAAATCCTAATCTTTTGAGTATGCATCTGTTATATTTATTCAGTATGCATTTATTATAGTAGGTTGTTAAGGTAACTAGAGCTTATCTTGCATGACTTTTATTGAAATATTATTATGAATAGTAACCAGTGTTATTTAAGTTGACTAAATAAGAATAGTTTCACATTTTAGAATGGTCCCACAATCCAAGCTCTTGAATCACTTGGACAAGGTAATTTTTTTTTAAATGAAGTGAGCAATTAGAAGTTTATAAATAAATTTAACAAAAATGTTTAAAATATATATTATTTTCTTCTTTAATGCTTCAGAAGAAAAAGTTGCATTACTAACACAGGTTGGTCAAATCTGTTTAAATTGCATTGTAACATTTATGTGTGTTTGTATAAATATATATATATATATATATATATATATATATATATATATATATATATATATATATATATATATATATATATATATATATATATATATATATATATATATATATATATATATATATATATATATATATATATATATATATATATATATATGTATGTATGTATGTATATGTATGTATGTATATATATATTTATATGTATGTATGTATATGTATATATATTTATATGTATGTATGTATATATATTTATATGTATGTATATGTATATATATTTATATGTATGTATGTATATATAATATATATGTATATATATTATATATATGTGTGTGTGTATATAAACAAGGCCGAGGCTATAAGGGGGTGTGGGGTGTGTGACACCTCCCCCCTCCCCCATCAATGATTTTTAGTCGGCAAACTGGACCCTTAGTCACACCATTGATATTACTAAAAAAAAAAAATTTCATTACATTTAGATCACCCTATCAGTCCGCGCAATGGGCCCAAAGATCATTTTTAGGGCGTTTTTGACCCTTTTTTCATTCAAATTGTGAGGACTCTTCCCATGATTCAATTTTGAAAAATTAAATTTGTTTAGGCAATTTTATGCATAAGAATTAAATTAAAATTCAATGTTAAGCTTAATTTGTTTGCATAATGGGTCAATTAAATAACTATATTTAACAAAAATGTTGATTTTTAGCATTTTTTTTTTTTTTTTTTTTTTTGCTCTTCGATAAGGTCTTTTTCAGCGCCTTTAGTGTTTCAAGTCAGAATGTAATGTGTAAAGCAGCTACAGGATCATCTAAAAGAATGAGTTAGTTTTGTATCTTCTTTTATGTGACTATATTAGGTTGTCTATCTCAATATATGACGTTTAGCAGCATTTGCTATCTTTTAATAATGCTAGAGCATAAAAAATAAAGTTTCAGCACAAATACTCAAAAAGAAACAGTTTTCTTCTTTCTCTTTCTTCCACTCTTGAACTTGTTAGCTACAAGGAAAGTGTCCTGTCTCTTCTTCTCCTTGTGAGATTTGTTGATCAGCTCCTAGTTAAAAATAAAATATTTTTGTTGAAATTGCCTTAATATTTTCTAGAATAGGTTTAAACTGTGAAATCATTAACTACTTCCAGATTTTTGACAAATTGTTTAAACTCCATATAATAATCATTCAGGTTCCATGTCTCAACTGGGGTTTTTAACCACTGTAATTCTGCCTTCCCTGGTTCAAGAGATGAAATATTAACCAACCCTGTTCATTTATCAGTGAAACCAAGCTAGGAGGATTATCCTGACAAAAATCCAGATTCTTCAACAATTCAAAATCTACCTGCTGTCTGCGTACAACATAATTCTCAAGCCTTGACATGGAATACAGCTACTTGACAATCTTGTCACGGTCATGGACTTCTTCATCAGCTAAAGCCATTAAAACAGCGGTAGGATCAATGTACCAGGTGTGTCTCTTCATTGAGTCAATAACAGGTTTTGCCAGCTCAGGTTTGACATCAGAGTATCTTATCATCTGCCACAGTGCTTTTATATCCTAAGAAATAACCTTTAGATAGCAAAATACTAAAAAGAATAACTTTTATTTAAACTTTACTATGTTTTAAATAATAAGAAAAAATTAAGATAAAAAAATTCTGAGAGGGAGCAATTGCTGGAATACAAGTTTATTTCTTATATTATAAGAATGAGAAATCATGATATATGTTTCTCTTTCTCTTTTCTATAAATACTATAATAGAGGAGCAAACATGTTTTGTCCACCGGATCAAATGTGTGGTAAAATAGAAAAAACTTATTAGCTTGTACCTTATTAATTAGTATTAGTATTTCTTTTTAAATAAACTTCTTGTCTATTGCTATAGTAAACGGTAGCATTTATCAGAAATTCTATTATGTAAAGCTAATATTTTCATGAAAAAAATTGGACAAAACTCATTTTGCGTGGATCTGTAGGACAAAACATTTGTGGAATGGACAAATTTTATGTGGAATGTAACTTTTATGTGGAATGTAACTTTTATGTGGAATGTAACTTTTATGTGGAATGTAACTTTTATGTGGGATGTAACTTTTATGGACAAATTTTGATATGAATGAAAATGAATACTAAAATTGAAAATTGTAAAACATTTCAAAAAACATTTTATTTTTCATTTTAAAAAAGTTTCATATTCTAACAGATATTTTCTGTAATAGACAATCACAGAGTTCTTCTTCCAATTTTTGTTCAGGCGATGCTGGTAGGCTAATAATGTGTTTATAAAATCAAAACGCCTATCTTCCAAGTCTTGCCATTCATTCCTATTTAAAAATTAAATAGGAATGAATGGCATATAAAATTATTCATCCTTGACTATAGAAAAACACCTTCTTGAATGTTAAATTTTTTAAATATCTGTTATTAACGTTTCATTTAGTCAACAAAAGAAACTTTTCAGCATCTGATTCAAAGACAAAATTTTGCAATGCTCTTACTTTGATTGAGTTTTATCTTTTTCTTGATTCGTAATTCGTAATAGATAGCCATATCTTTGATTTCATTCTTCTCATGGGCTTTGAGTTTGGGAATGTTATCTATTAGAAGAAACATTTTAATAAAGTAAATTCCTTTCATCAAAAACCCAGCATGACTTGCAGGTCCTAGTTTTCTAAGTCTGTACTGCACATCTCCAGATAGTACCATTACTGTGAGTTCGGCTAACTCAAGATAATCACACCTGCATCCATTTTAAATATAAATACTTATTTTTATAATAAGCAGTTAATCAAAATTGAATGTTTACATTGCATTTTGACTTTTTGCAACATTTAAAAAAGCCATAAAAAATTAAGATTTATTCTTTACATTTTCAATTTTAATATCTGATATTAATCATTTGTTTATTGTGCAAAGCGCCAGGAGCTATGCACATTAAATAAGTTATTATTATTCTAAGCTGCGATTTATGGGATAATGGACTTTCATTTATTTGAAAGCTGTTTAAACTACTTTAAACAACATTAAAATTAATTTGATTATTTATAGTACTGACCTTCTTCATCTTTTCCATCTTTATAACTTTTTTGGAGATTTCCAAAGCTTTCTTGAATTGATCCTGCAACCAGTTGTCAGTAATATCCTCAATCTTGATTCTGTTTAGTACAGTAGAATCATGATCCAAAGAGTTCCAAACAAGCTTAAGCTTTTTAAAAAGAGGATTGTCATTTGTGTTACTGCTGGGATAGATGTTCCAACAATAAACAATGTGTCTTTCATACACATGATGTCTGCATGCTAATAGAAGTAAAGGCCTGTCAACCTCTTTAGCTAGTTTAATGCATACTCCTTTCTGTTTACCAGTGTTAAAATTAGTAGTATCAAAAACACATCCGTGAAACTTGTTCGTATTTTCAAATTGGCTAAGAAGTTCCATGATTGCTGTTTTCTGATCCTCTCCTGTACTTGAAGTTAGAGGTGGAATACCAAGTAGCTCTGTCTGTCCATTTATTCTAATTAATACAGCAAGTCTGTGATATTGCAATTCTTTCCCATCTGTGAATTCTTTAACAATCTTTCTATCAAAGTGCAGAACTATAGGGGATACTGATGACTGTGCAAGAGTAGAAATTTGTTTTCTAATCTTCTCTCATTCTTTTGTCAAAACCTCTTCTACAGCTCTAAATGATGTTGCGCTAGACACAACAAAATTTGCCACAGAACCTCCAGAGTTTGTAATGATACTGGACACAGTTGCAGTATGTTGTCTAGCAGACAGTCCTTCTCCTATAGCAGTAAGTGCTGTTTTCTGTAGAATATCTTTTGGAAGGAAAATCAATGAGTCAGATTCTTCTTTGTTGATATCTGCTTCAAAGTCTGAATCAGAATTACTATCAAGACTACTTGCAGAGCTGTGTGAAATGTTAAGATCATTTGCAGTGTCTCCTTTACTATTCCTGGTAGTCAAATGATTCTTCTGTGATCTTTCAACGGCATATGAAAACTTTTTATCTTTTGTTCCAATTATTCCTTTTTGTTCTCCCAGCTGATCCAAGACGAAAGCAATATCTTCCTCTTTAGCTCCATAAGTCCTCTTCTTATCTTTCCTAATCTTATCAATCAGTTCTTCAGGATTTCTACTAATCCAAAAGTAGTTCAAAAGATCCAACTATCCTGAATCCTGCTAGATTCCAGGGCCCAATCAATTTAGACATTACACAGCAGTGGGTTTTCTCTGCAGGACACAATGAAGCTCAAAAGAATTCATCTTAAATTTGCACTTGATTAAATCTATTTGCTTAGTGTTTGGATTTAGCTTCCTAAGATGTAGGTAGTACTGCAGAACATCTTTGCCATTTGGAAACTTATTGCTTGGGAGAGTTTCTCTAGTTTTCTTCACACAAAAATTTGTTGACATGTTTTTTTTGTTTTTTTTAACTATCTGAAAAAATATGTATATAGATATAAAATATAGATATTTACAGAATATATATAGATATAAAATATAGATATTTACAGAAATATAGTTATAATAACATTGCTAAACATCAAGTATTAAAGAAAGACAATCTTATATGGTCATATTAAAGAGGGAAAATCTCAACACTGATTTTTTTAAGACAACTCTGTAGCTGGTTTAAAAACCTTATCAAAGAACAAAAAAATGTAAAACTTCAACATTTTCGTTAAATATAGTTATTTAATTGACCCATTATGCAAACAAATAACACTTAACATTGAATTTTAATTTAATTCTTATGCATAAAATTGCCTAAACAAATTTAATTTTTCAAAATTGAACCATGGGAAGAGTTCTCACGATATGAATGTAAAAAGGGTCAAAAACGCCTAAAAAATGATCTATGGGCCCATTGCGTGGACTGATAGGGTGGTCCAAATGTGATGAAAATTTTTTTTTCAGTAATATCAATGGTGGGGCACCATATAAAGAGCAATATTAGTTGAAAATTTAAAAAGTAATTTTTTTGAAACACCCTAATATATATGTATATATATTTTTTTATAAATAAAAACATTAGTGAGAACTGAATGTTTTAACTACATTAGTAAAGGTCTACTTTAATTATGCTTTTTTTGAATGACATGTTACTCTGTCTTGCTGGTATAATTATGATTAAGTATGAAATTTGCTTTAGAGATGAGACAATAGCATTCACTAAACATGTATATGCAATAACATTCACTATACATATTTAGTACATCACATGCGAATGCAATTATTTTAATTATAATTTAGGTGATTTTGAAATTTAACTTTTTTTAAAACTAACTTCTCTTTAGCTTCATACCACCCATTACAATTGATTTTCTCAAATTTTACTGCTTATTAACATTTATTTTTTTAATGTTTGTTTTACTTCATGATTTGTTTGAAGTTTATGATTACTTTTTGACATAAAAATAAACTTTTCATTAGTTTATTTATTTTTAAAGTTTTTCGTGTTTATCTTCAATGGTTTTTTTAAGCTATATTTATAATAGTTTTTCTCTTTAAAATAAATATCTTTTTTTTTAACTGTTATATATATTTTTTTGATTTGAATTTTGTCAACAAAAATTTTCTCTTTTAAAAAATAATTTATTAATTTATTAATAAATTATTTTTAATTTATTAATAAATTAATAAAGTATTAATTTATTAATAAATTATTAATTTATTAATAAATTATTAATTTATTAATAAATTAAAAATAATTTATTAATTTTAGTTGTTTATTTAAAAACAAAATCACGTAGAAATTACTTAATTCACTTTAAAAACAAAATCATAATAGAAATTTACCTTCTATTCTAAAAGTAAATTTCTACCATGTTTTATTGGGGATTGTTGAAATTTTGTTTGAAATAATGAATTAAAAACACTTTTTTAGTTTAATTTTGTGTGATTTTATATTTTAATTTGATTAATAACTTTTATTGTTATTTTTATATATTATTTTTTTAAATTATGTTTAATCAACATTATATATAATAAAAATCTGTAACACATCAAGTTTTCTTTTTAACTTATAGACTTGTGGGGCCATATCAGAACACACGGGGAAAATGTGCACACGGTAATTTTGTTTTAACACAGTAATATATTTTTTCAATGCAGCAATTTATATTTTTTTGACAAGATATTTTTTTTTTTTTTAACAAAATGTTATATTCTTTCAACATAATATTTTTTTGTTGTGTTGCTATTATATTTTGTATATTAATTGTGTTACTTGTTTATTAAGACCTGATGTCTGTTTTATTTTAAAATAAAATAAAAATTTGTTCATATATTCACTTTTATTTATTATCTTTTAAAAAATCTAGTTTTTTTATCATGTTTATTTTTTTTTTCAAGATGTCAACATCTTTTTATGTGATATGAATAATTTGATTTTTATAATCTTTTCTTTCACTTAAACAGAACTTTTCATCAAGTAACTTGTCCACAATTTTTATTATTATGTGTTACATCATTAATATATTCACCTAGTGTTGTGTATGTAATAACGCTATTCTTTTTACATATTATAATCATTATTTTCCTAATTGTTTTAATAGCATTTTATCCTGTAGATGTAATAGGTGTCTAATTTTGAGATGCAGATATATATATATATATATATATATATATATATATATATATATATATATAAATATATATATATATATATATATATATATATATATATATATATATATATATATATATATATATATATATATATATATATATATATATATATATATATATATATGGATTAATAAATTTTAATGTTAATTTTTTTTTTTTTTTTCAAACAATCAAACTTAGCTATATTACAAACACTTGATTAGTAGTTTTTAGTATTGCTTCATGCTGGAGTAGATAGTTTAAAAGAAAATAAGAATTTAAATCAACATAAATAAACCATTTTAACTTTTAGTAGAATACTAAGAAATGTGCCATTAAAAATAAATAAACGTAAACAAAACTAAAACATTCCGGGGAAGTTTATTTTTTTTTAAACCTAAACAAAAGTAAAATATTTCGGAGAAGTTTTTTTTTTTTTTAAATGTAAACAAAACTCAAACATTGCGGGAAAGTTTATTTATTTTTAAACCTAAACAAAGGTAAAATATTTCGGAGAAGTTTTTTTTTTTTTTTAAACGTAAACAAAACTCAAACATTGCGGGGAAGTTTATTTATTTTTACATTAAGTTAAAGTTTTTAAAGTAAAAAGATTTATGATTTTTTTTTTCTAACATAAAAACAAAAATATCTGAAAGTATTTTTTAGGTAACTGTCTAAAACCAAATAAGTTGCAACAAAAAAATATTTTTTTATAAACATGACTCTATAACATGCCTAAAAAAATTTTTTAAATTAGAAAATAAATTATTTACATTTTGTTTTATATAAAAATATGCTGGAAAATGTTTTAGACGAGCACTCATTTCATAAATTTATTAATTATAACTCTCTCTAGTTTATGTTTCATAATGAGTTTTATGTAAAGTTTAAATTAAATTAAATAGACTTAGGAAGATTTTCAACTTTCAAATTTTGTCTTCTCTTGTTTGAAGCAACTGACTTTTTTTTTTAATTTGAAAATCCCTGTTGCCTATTGATTCGTTACTATTCTCTACCTGTTGTCATCTTTTATTTGTTTAGACTACAACAAGTATAACTATATTCTTTTAATGATGCTCTAATGAAACTCTTTCTCTTCTAGGCAAGGTCTAAAAACACATTCTAAATGTTTTTAGAACTGCTCTATCTGCAAAGCTTGAGCCACTCTTCCATTGACAAGTTTGCATTTCTTTTCTGCAAATACTATCATGGTCACTGGTCAAATACTATCATGGTCACTGGTCAAATACTATCATGGTCACTGGTCAAATACTATCATGGTCACTGGTCAAATGCTATCATGGTCACTGGTCAAATACTATCATGGTCACTGGTCAAATACTATCATGGTCACTGGTCAAATACTATCATGGTCACTGGTCAAATACTATCATGGTCACTGGTCAAATACTATCATGGTCACTGGTCAAATACTATCATGGTCACTGGTCAAATACTATCATGGTCACTGGTCAAATACTATCATGGTCACTGGTCAAATACTATCATGGTCACTGGTCAAATACTATCATGGTCACTGAAACTAGAGACGATCTCTAGTTCCATCAACAAAAACTTGTTGACTTTTCATTCAGCAAAGTTTTTTTCCCTGTTCCTTCATGCTCTAGGAACTTTTATTCTTTATTACTGTAGGAAGTTTTTTTCGTTATCTCTGCTATGTTTTTCTCTCCCATGTGACTCAAACTACAACTTTTTTAGTCTTGCTCTTAATTGCTATTCTTTGTTTTCTTGTAATTTCTAACCTAAAATTGGTTACTTGTAGCCTTTTTGGGTGTGCATTAGTTTTGAAAATACAATAAAAAAATGAACTTAAAATATTTTGATATGTAACAATAGTTACATATGCCAGAAGATAAAGATCATTTTGATGTCTTGAGATAAGATTACTTCAGCAAAATGTTTTTCAAAATCTGAAAAATGAAATTGAATTGTTAACAAATGAAAACATATGTCAAAGTGCATTGAAAAGTTGTACAACAGAAAAGATGAATTTTTAATGTTTGTGTCTTTAATAAAAAACAGTATGTTAACCATTCACTAATGTGTTAAAAATTTAACATGTTGCCCACTTTGTTAGAGAAGACAGTTAAAGCTTCCACTTATCTGTTGTATGTTGTGTCACAATAAGTTATTAGTTCAGAGATCAAATGGACACTTAAATATGTTTTCATTATTTTATTTTTCTTCCAGTGAAGGACCTTTTAACTCTGAAAACCAAAATCTAGGCAAATGAGGCCAATGCGCAGATAAACAGGTTGAGTGCAGTTCTACTAGAAACATAGTGTGGATCCAACATAGATCTTCTCACTTACAAAGCAGGCAGTATACCACTACAGCCCTATACAGCAGTATATCACTACAGTCAACATTTTATACAAATACCACGCATATGTTATTTTGTTTTGACAACTTGGCAATGGCTCCTTGTATGTTTGAAGCTAGCTCATTAAAAAAACGCACTGAGTAAATTTAAACTAAAATTAAAAACAAACTATAAACTTAAAAGATGTGAAAAAAGTGAAAATGAATTAAAAAAAAAAACTAAAAAAGTAAAAATCTTAATAAATCATAACAAAATAAACCAGAAAAAATAAAAGCATAAATATATGTTTTTGTTTTAATTAAAAGTGTTTCACTAAAATTTATTTAGGAAAAATTAAAGTTTCAAATTTATTTAATCCAAGTTTAATTATTTGGAAACTTAACTATTAAAAAGTTGAAACCTTGAAATTTTTTTTATGTCTATAAAGCAAATAAAAATTTAAAAAGAATTATCCATTACTAGGATTAAAGACCTCCTTACTTTTTGTAACACAAATTCAAGTTTGGCTGTTTTATCTTTGCATCTCTATTAATGGCAATTATCTTTTGACTCTCACAGAACAGACATTAGTCATGTGCTTGATTCTGAAATAAACTTAAGTATCAATTCAATTACTTGTCATAAAATTATGTTTAGACCCTCTTACGACTAAATCACCTTTCACTTTTCTTTTAAACTTTTTCTCAAATTTTTTTAAATCTAACTTCTAATCAAATTGTTGTTGCTTTTGTCTCAGCTAATGGTCATCACACTAAATGACTCAGCTAATGGTCATCACTCTAAATGACTCAGCTAATGGTCATCACACTAAATCACTCTAGTATCTCAGCTGACATTAAAGGTGCCAACTATTTTGAACTTTATTACTTTATTCTTTGTTTTTAAAACTAGTTTAAGCTTTTTTTTCAGACAATCCTAAACTAGTTTTATTTTTTATTTTTTTTTTTGCAAAAAAATGTGCCTTTTTTTGTTATCTATTTGACTCAGGCAAGCATGGAAGTTTTTCCTTTTCATTGGTTTAAAGCAAGCCTCACTTTAAGGATTTTTTTTTTTTATGGGGATTTTTTATCTTAAGTATTTCTTATTATTTTTGCCAGACTTTGTTTTGCTAATCAGAAAAAAAAGATTAATTCGTTTTTAAACTCCTTTTACTCCTAGTCGTTATTAACTTTATATTCTTATATCCTGATTAATGGCAACATTCCTAATTACTTATCTGCTTTACATCTTGGATTATTTTTTTGTTATTTGCCTCTCATTAACCAAATATCCTATTCATAAAAAGTCAGCATTTGCTGTCGTCTGTACTTTCAAAACTATTCAACAAATGCTTATCAAAGTCTTGTTTTATAGCCTGCTGCTGGAAAACAACAGCAGCAGCTGTTCTCGTTCTGCAACTCTATTTTCAAAAAATCTGGAGAGCAATCTGATTCGTCTAATTACCGTCTCATTAGTCTTCTTCCTATCATAAGCAAGATTTTTGAATCTTTAATTATCAAACACTTAATCTCTCATCTTGAATCTAATAACTTACTTTCTGATCATCAATATGGATTTCGATCTTCTTGTTCTACGGCTGATTTGCTAACTTTGTTTGTTTAACTTTGTTTATAATTGTTTTATTGTGCATTAGATAAAGGTGGAAAGGTTAAGGCCATTGCTCATGACATTTCTAAAGCATTTGATAAAGTTTAGCATGCTGGTCTTCTCCATAAGCTTTTTTCTTACTGTGTATCTGGAAACATCTTTAAGATTATTGAATCCTTCCTTTCCAATCATAGTGTAAAAGTTGTTCTTGATGGACAGCACTCTTCTTCTTATTCTGTAACCTCAGGGGTTCCTCAAGGTTCAATTTTTGGCCATATTCTCACACTCTTTTTAATTTACATTAACGATCTTCCAGATATTCTCACATCTAAGGTGGCATTGTTCGCTGATGATTCTACCATTTATTCTTGTCATGTTAAGAAGTCAATTCTCTCTGATTGCTTGGAGGGGGCATTTGAGCTTAAAAAGGATCTCACTTCTGCTACAGCATGGGGCTCACAGTGGCTGGTGAACTTTAATCCAGATAAAACTCAATAATTTAAACCTTCCTATATTTATGAATGGTAATGTTCTCAATGAGTCCTCTACCCTTCATCTTCTTGGATTAACTCTTAGTTCTGATCTTTCTTGGAAACCATATATCAAATCTGTTGCAAAATTAGCATCTACTAAAGTCGCATCTCTTTATCAAGCTTGACACTTTCTTACTCTGGATTCTATTCTCTATCTCTATAAATCTCAAATCTGGCTTTTTATGGAATGCTGTTGCCATATCTGGGGCGGATCTTTTAATGATAACCTTTCTTGTTTAGAAAAGGTGCAAAAATGCATTGTAAACATAGTTGGGCGTGCTCTTGCAGCCAACCTTCAATCATTATCACATCGTCTTAATGTTGCTCCTTTTTCTCTTTCCTACCAATACTTTAATGGGCACTGCTCTAAAGAGCTAACGTCTCTTGTGCCATCTACTAAAATTCATTCTCATGTTACTCGTCATTTAATTAAGTCTCATCCTTTTTCTGTGACTGTTCCTAAGTGCTTCAAAAACTCTCATCCCTCTAGTTTTTTTCCTTGAACATCAGTTCTTTGGAATTCTCTTCCTTCATCTTGCTTTCCTGATTTATATGATTTGCAATATTTCAAGTCGTTTGTCATTAGTTATCTTGCTCTACAATATTTATCTTTTCTCTTCCAGTAAATTCCAACTCCAATTAGTGGTTGCTTGCAGCCTTGTTGGAAGCGATTTTAGTTTAGATGTTTAAAAAAAAAAATTGATAAGGTTATCTTTATTTTGCTTGCAATTTTCTTACTTTTGATAACTTTATCTATATTATATTCTGTTATCTTTTTATGACATCTATACTGCCCTTTTTTTATGTCATTAGTATCAACAATACTTATAAAGATAAAAGCATTTTCTTTAACATCTTTAATACGACCTAACTGCCGACAGTTTCTATGTTTTATGATCAAACCTTTGTTACATTTTTTCTGCTGACCTGATGCTGGCCTCACACAGATTAAGTTTTTTATTTTTCCTAATTTCAAAGGCTGATAATAGTATTTTGATAAGTATGGCTACTCAGACACTGTTGATTTTAAATATCTTGTATATTTTTATTGCTTTAAAGCATCTGTTAAAATGTTTTTGTTGTATTTACTAACTTTTCATATAAGTTTTACATTTTTGATTATAAAGTATATTTATTGCATTTTATGTTCAGAACTGGAAAGTGTGTCCAGCACACTGATGAACAAAGGAAAAGTGTCAGAGGTCTTCTTCTTGGTAAGGTTTAATTTTCTTTTTTTTTTTGTCTAATTTTTTTACTGCCTTAATCTCTTATTCAAATTTGGTATCAATAAATATTGTACCAGATTACACAGTAATGACCAAGAAAAGATGGCACATTGTTTTTTTGATATATGTCCAAGTAATAAGTTACAAAAAGACTAAGCATATTGTTGCTATGACAAACAAGGTGCACCTAGGTTCCTATCTAAAGCGATATATGCTTTAAAAGTGGTTATTATGCTATAAAAAGTAATAAGTTACAATGAATAGCATATAGAAATATTTGATATGTGGAAAGTTTGTGAAATTTTTTTATTTCATATTATTACATTTTTAGCAATACAATTAAGTTATTTTAAGCCATGTCTGAGGGTTATATTTGGTTGTTGTTTTATGTTTTATATTGTTGTTTTTGATACTTTTTTTTATTATTATATTTTAAAATATTTTAACTGGAGTAATTACATGGAATTTGATCACTTGAGATTAGATATTATTTAAAAACTGCATTAAAAATAGTATAAGTAATGTGTGGTTGTTTGAGGGTGTATAATTAATGTGTGGTTGTTTGAGGGTGTATTTAAAGACCATATTTAAAGATTTAAAGTGAATTTTTGGCTTAACAATGTGTTGCGCCCTTTAGGTGATACTGATGATATTCCATGGCCAGCAAGTTCACGTCCAGATAGGTATGCTTTAGCCTGGTTATTTCTAGTTTTGAAAAACAAATAAAAAGGAATTTTTATACATCTCATGGTATAACTATTAAAGACCAGTGTTGAATTTAATGTTAAAAAATAAAAGTTTATTTATTGTTAAAAAATAAGAAAAAGCATTTAAGCTCATAAATGTTTTAAGTAAATTTTAATAATGATGTAAAAATAAAGTTAAAATTATAATGTTTTGAGTTTTTTTAAATACTCTTTTCAGAATAGTTTATACCTGTAATAAACAAACAAATGTGTGTAGCAAATTTTTGTCAGTTATGTAACTAATACAGTATCGGACAAAACATAACATGGTGGAGTTTATTTTGTTGTTGACAAAATTTAAAACTTTTGAATCATGCTAAAAATCACCAAAAAAGTTTTATAACATATTTTCCTTAACAAACTTCATTTTTTCTTTGGATAAAACAAGATGGACATTCAAAAAATTAACTTATTATTTTTCAAAAAACTTCAAAAATTAACTTAATATTTGGTAGGACCTCCTTTACTTTCAATTACTGATTTCATTATTCAATTAATGAGTCAACAAATCTCATATCAATCTCTCTCCAGACCTTTTCGGTTTGTTCAAATAATTCCTCACTGGTCTTCACATTTGCACACTCAATCTTATTGTCAATTTTTTAACCTGAAATTTTCTATGGGATTTAAGTTAGGGGATTGTCCAGGCCACTTCATTACGGTGGTATTCTTGTCCTTGAACCATTGTTTTACAATTTTTGACATATGTTTGTCATTATCCTGTTGAAAAATCCATTTTAGGGGCATCTTCCATTCAGCATGTTCACTATTCACAAATCATCTTTCAGTATATATTTGTACACAAAGCGGTCCATAACTCCATTAATTTTGTGAATAGGACCAGCTCCTAGTGCTGAGAAACATTCCCATAGCAGACGTTCCATGCTTAACACTCTTCTTGGTATATTTAGTATTGTGTCTGGTGTTCTTTGGTCTCCAGACTCGCTCCTTGCCTTTGCTTCCAAAAAAGTTATATTTTGGTTCATCACTAAATAGTATGTTTTTCCACTGGTTTTCAGTCCAATTTTGGTGTGCTTTGGCAAACGCAACTCTTAGCTTTCTATTTTTAAAAAAAAGTCTGTGGTTTCTCGGCATGCATTCGAAAAAACAGTTTTGCTTCGTAAGCTCTTTATCGTACAGTGCGATTGGAGATTTGTAGTTCATATTTTTTATGGTTAATTTTGTGGATAACAAAAATGGATCTTTTTTAAGTTCTTTAACAATTCTTTGATCTAGCCTTTGTGATGTTTTTCTTGGACGTCCGCCCTGATGGTTTGTTTTATAGCAGTCACGAGATCCAAATGATTTGACTGTTTTGCTTACAGTCGATTTAGCTATATTATATTTTCTAACAATTTCAGCTTGACGTTTTCCGCTTTTAAAATCAATATTTTTTCGTAAAACACTTCCTAATTTGTCGTAAATCATTTTAAATAGCAATTTTTTACGCGATATATCACGATTTAATTCTATTTTTGGTTTAATTGAAAAACAATTAGTCAGACGTTCCAAAATGTTCTTTATTCTTAGAAAACTAGTTTCAGTAATATTGTGTAAATAAATTCCCATGGATACACAACTTCCTAGATACTTTGGGTATTATTAAATAAGTGTATTATTAAATAGTTGTAGATTCATTGAAATATCTATTTCTGATATATATAAGTTAAATAAGATTTGTTTGTTATTAGTTGAATCATATCTCTTTACATTTGTTTATGTACTAATTTGTTTAATCTTTTTACAGTTCTGCTCTTGATCAAGACGATGTACATGTTGGTAAGTGATGATAGAGTTAATAAAGGCTATTTAATATTATTCGGTCATCTAGTAACTAACATTCTAACGAGGCGGGAGTAGAATAATATTATCAAATTTCAATTCGTAAATCACATAAAAAAAGTGTCCTTTTTAAATTCATAAACTACTATTTAACAATAAAAAAAAGTTTTAGGAAATTAATTTTATTATTATAAACTTTATTTTAAAAAATTAGGTAAAGTTTTATGTTTTATAAGAAAAAATAACAAATGGTCGTATTTAGGTGGAAGTTTTATGTTTTATAAGAAAAAATAATAAATGGTCGTATTTAGGTGGAAGTTTTATGTTTTATAAGAAAAAATAACAAATGGTCGTATTTAGGTGGAAGTTTTATGTTTTATAAGAAAAAATAACAAATGATCGTATTTAGGTGGAAGTTTTATAATAAGAGTGATATTCTTTTGAATTATTACAAGTTGTCTTTATAATACCTAGCTGCCACCCTTTATAATACCTAGCTACCACCCTTTATAATACCTAGCTGCCACCCATTATCCCCATAATAACTCTCAACATAAAAATTTCACTACTTGTTTATGTAAAACAGATAAAATACCATCAACATTAGTTTTTAAATATTCGAAAATCTCACTAACAGGAATTGGGCAAATTTATGATCCAAGTGGTCGTATTGAAATAATTACAATTCGGGACCAAATAAGGAAAATATTATGAAAAGATCATCCTTTTTTATTAAGCTTTTTTACTTCTTTAATACTTTTATTTTTTCAAGCTTTTGTGATTTCAATTAAACTATTTCTTATTTTTAATTTCTGAAGAGTTTTGTAAACATAAAAATTTCACAACTTGTGTTTTATATAATCCTTATTAAGATGTTTTTAATTGTTTTAGATGTTGATGGATGTGAAGATATCGATGAAGGGGCGCTTCTAAGAGAACTTACACCGTGAGTAATTGATTATTTTTCTTGACTGTCAAGCTCTAAATGTTTTCATAATGTCAAACTTTATAAATTTTTAAAATTAGGGTATAATAAAAAATGGCAGGTATATATAAAAAATAGCAGCGGTTTATAACTACATGAAATAATTTTGTTATCCTCATCTATTTAGTTTAAAAACTTCACATTTTTATCTAACATTTTTGTTATTTTAACTTTAAGTTTTGTTATTTTAACTTAGTTTTTTTAACTACATTAAAAAATTTTTTGTAAACCTTGTTAAAAATAGACTAAGTGGGATGAGGGAATGTAAGTTACGATTTAAGTATCTATCTCATCGTAGCATTTCTTTTGTTTTTTAATTTTTAAAGCAATTTTTTTTTTTCTACAGTTTGCCTTGGGAACAAGATTCAAACATTTCAACTGGCTCTGAATCGACATCTGCTTCGTTGCGTAAGTTTTTTTGTTATATCTCCATATTTTTTAATTTTTTTTTTTTTTTATAACAGTAAGCTAATTTTTGAAGTATTTATGATAGATACATCACCAGTGATAAAAAAGAAGACATCAAATGCCAGAAAAAATCGATTTCGTTGATATTGAATGAATTTATTTAAAATTTGTATTTAAATTAGTAATTACTAAATAAATTGTATTTAAATTAGTAATCATATAAAAATTGTAGTTATTTTTTTTAAAAAAAAGGTTTAGTTAATAAGACACGGTGCTATATATGAAACACGCTAAAGGCAGTTTTAAAAATTTGGGTTAACCTTAAAACAGTATCATGAACGGCGCGACACTTGAGATTGAAGTCAACTTCGCGTTTGGATTTTAACTTCGTTAAAATTCAGATGCGAGGTTTAAAATTTATATATTCTCCGGAGCCGTCGTCTATTTTTTGAAAACTATTTAACAAGTGCTTATCAGAGTCTTGTTTTCCAGCCTGCTGAAAAGCGGCATCTGTTATCTCTATTTTCAAAAATCCTGGAGAGCGATCTGACTCGTCTTACTACCGTCCTATTAGTCTTTTTATTTTCATAAGCAAGGTTTTTGAGTCTTTAATTAACAAACATATTTAATCTTGAATATAAAAACTTACTTTGAGATCATTAATATGGATTTTCTCGTTCTTTTTACTTTGTAATCATTAATATGGATCTTCTCGTTATACTGCTGGTTTGTTAACGGTAATAACTGATAGGATTTACCGTGCATAGATGTAGAGAGGCTAAGACTATTGCTCTCGATATTTCTAAAGCTTTTGATAAAGTTTGGCATGCTGATCTTCTCCATAAGCTTTCCTTGTACAGCGTATTAGGTTACATCTTTAAGATTATTGAATCCTTCCTCACCAATCGTAGTATAAAAGCTGTCCTCGATGGACAGCATTCTTTTTCATATCTTTTAACTTCAAAGGTTTCTCAAGGTTCTTTCCTTAGCCCTATACTTTTTTTAATTTACATTAACGATCTCCTAGAAATTCTCACATTTAAGGTGTCATTGATTGCAGATGATACTGCCATTTATTCTTGTCTTGATAAGAAGCTAACACTCTCTGATTGCTTGAAGAGGGTAATTAAGCTTGAAAAGGATCTCACTACTGCTACAGCATGCTCACAGTAGCTGGTGAAATTTAACTCAGATAAAACTCAATTTTTTCAGCTAATCTTTATCGCAATATTATAGATCTTCTATATTTATGAACGATTGTGTACTCGATGAGTCCATCTGCCATTTATCTTCTAGGATTAACTCTTACTTCGATCTTTCTAGGAAATCATATATCAAATCGATTACAAAACTAGCATCTGCTAAGGTTGCATCCCTTATTCGTGCTCGCCACTTTCTTATTCAGTACTCTATTCTTTATCCCTATAAATCTCAAATCCGTCCTCGTACGGAACACTCTTGCCATAACTGGGGCAAATCTTCAAATGACGCCCTTTCTCCTGTAAAGGAAAGGGCATCATTGTAACGCATTGTCAGCATATTTAGAACTGGTCTTGCAGCCAACCTCCAATCATTATCACATTGTCAAAATGTTGCTTCTTTTTCTCTTTTTTATAAATACTATCATAGAAACTGCTCTAAAGGGTTAGCGGCTCTTGTGCTAACTACTAAAATTCATTCTCGAGTTACTCGTCACTCAACCTTATATTATTACTGTTCCTAAGTGCTCCAAAAATTCTTATGCGTCTAGTTTTTCCCCTTTAATATCAGTTCTTTGGAATCCGCTTCCTTCATCTTGTTTTCCTGATTCATATAATTTGCAATCTCTATAGTTGTTTTTTTTCTCTACAATACTTTCAATTTTAACAGCTCGCAGCCTTGTTAAAAATGAAGGTGTTATAGAATATATATATATATATATATATATATATATATATATATATATATATATATATATATATATATATATATATATATATATATATATATATATATATATATATATATATATATATATATATATATATATATATATATATATATATATATATATATATATATATATATATATATATATATATATATATATAGACACACTTACTAAAGCGTGTTTTGATAAGCATTTGCTCACTTTTTCTACCATTTTTTTCGAAAAAGTAGAAAAAAACCCGAAGATTTATGAATAAAACGATTACTGCCCCATCCCAAACCCTCTGTCGATGTAGCAGCACTCTACTGCGCGTCAGGCTATTTGTCAGTCGATGTATGTACTGAAGCCCCCAGCAGCAGGCTATTTTAGTGTGATGTCAGATTGCTTACCTTAGTACGCAATACTATTTGTATATATATATATATATATATATATATATATATATATATATATATATATATATATATATATATATATATATATCACAATGTCACGAAATGACTTCTAATTTGAACCTCGTGACCCAAGAAAATCATTTTAGGGTATGATTATGGAGATATATAGGAGTGCATTAAAAGTGATTTTGAAATCTTCTGTCATCGTCCGTGGAAAAAAAATCAAATCAAAGTTTTCTTTTATTACTGCTCTAAATAATGACTTTAAATTTCATTAAAAAAAAATGTGACATTTATTTATTCATTTTGTGCATCAAAACACTCTATTTGCAACAAAATATTTACAAACAAAATTATAAACATTACAGTTTCTCTTGGAAATACAGCAATAAATTGATTTTTAGCTATGAAAGTCTGACTTTCATCAAAAACTTCAATATTTTTTCTGAATGATCTAAATTACTAATCTAAATTCAAGAAAGATCTAGATTTATATATAGATTCTGACATATAGCACACATAAGAAAGTATAATTCTCTCTCTTTCTTTCAAGTAATGACATCAAAATGAATGTTTGCTGTTGTAATCAATCAAACAGCTAAGAAGATTCATGGGATAGTCTGGGTGGTTGCTAGGCCTTTTGAAACGTTACCAATGATTGTTGAAGTTGTGATGCAGCGACTCTGTTGCTTGTTCTGAATACAGACCCAAAGATCGGTTATCCGGGTTAATAAACTGGGGAACATGAAAGAAGACTGCATATACTTTAGGAGTGACGCTTGTGTTTGGAAGCTTAAGGTAAGAGTCTCTGAATTCCTTAATTAGTCCACAGTAGTTCTGTTGAAAGGTATTTCCAAAACAGGCATGAACAACTGCATCAAACTTTCGGAATATTTGAATGAATGGCAATGCCACGAAACAAGAATTTGCTTTTGCAAGTTGTAGAAGCATGTCAACTTTTCTCAAAAGCTTTCTGCAATCATTTCCAGCAAACTGTCCTCCATGAAATGGCTGTTGTTGAATGTTCATCATCTTTGGCCACTCTGTTGCATTTTTCCATAACAAATAGAGATCTTTGAAGAAATAGTTGATAATGCCAAGTAGAAGGTGAAGTTCCATTGGTGGAATGAAGTCTAAGATGAGTGTATCATCTGGCAATCTGAAAGCATGCTGATGCACAACATTTAGAAAGTCCCGTGCTCTTTTTTTTGGCCACCTGCAGCTTGGAAGCCAGTGTTGTTATTCTGAATAGATCCAAAAGTTCGGAGCTCACCACTCTGATAAAGATTCTTAGATTCAATGTCACACCAAAGACAAGAATGTGTACTGGAGTGAGACTGTAAACCGCAGATGATGTTAGCAAGTTTCATGCCACAGGACAACACAAAAGACATCCTTTCAAGGCACAATTTGTCAAGAATTTGTTTCACATTGTCATACTTTTTAGGTAGATTTTCTGAAACAGCTACCAACAATTGGCGTTTCACACCTGAATCTTTAAAAAGAGGCTATTTGGGTGATCGAGAGACATTCTGCACTTCTAAGGTAATTATTCCTAGAGAAACTCTTAAGAAACCTCCTCCTCCATCTATTCTAATATTTATAAGTTCATTTGAATGTGGACCTTAAATTTGGATGACAGTGTTTCTCAGAGCAATAAGATCTTTGCAGTGTACAAGTAGTCTCTTGGACTCATGGCTGTCAGTTTTGGTTGTGTCCATAA